CCGCCGCACAGATGGTCGTCGCACCTATCTTTCGGCCTTCGCACCAAGAGCGCGAGCAACGTCACTGTCGTAGCGATCAACAGAGCCACGAACTTCATCCGACAGAATCCCGCGGTCGCATTTGCGATCGACGACGCGTTCTTGCTGGGTTCGATCGAATCTGCACCTCCGAACTGTACCGACCATACGGTGACGGCGACGATTATCGATACCGAGATGACGAAAATCGTCAACACCGTCAAGATGACTTTGGACTTCGAAACGACGGGTCATACTCACACTTTTATTATTATTATTTTGTTTTAGTTGAATAACTTTCTCCAAAGACATTAATGCCAGGTTGACTAAGGATACAATAAACTACATTGAAAAAAAAATGCATTTTTTAGTTTCTCTTCATTTTTTTAATGATTCAAAATATATGTAACAATTTTCATTTTTATTTACAATACGAAAACAAAATATATATAAGAAAAAAAAAAACTGTTCACGCTCTGTACACTCGGATGCCGTCCGGAATTTGGCATTCCGACATCTTCATCTCGATCAAGCATCTGCACAGCGGACATCTCGCCGTCCGTCCGGAACAGGATAGACACATAAGTAGATGTTGGCAGGGGAGGGTGAACACGTCCGAGACCGCATCCAAGCAAACCTTGCACGAGTCGGACTCTTTCAGGGTTCTCAGCGATTGCCAATCGAAGTCCTCCGGACACAGTTCGCGGAGAATGTCGGCCACCAGATACGCCATCTCGCCCTTCGCCCGATGGAATCGGACCATGTCCTTTGCAAACGCCAGAACGTCCGCCACTCGATCTCGTTCCACTCGACCTGTCCCCAGAACGGCGGAGATCCAATCTTTCGTCGATGCACGGTCTTGTTCTGTCGGAGAGACTGAGAATCCGTCGATCCGACGCTCAACCGCGGTTCGATGGTACGGGTCGTCTCCGTCGCAGTTGACCACGCATCTTCTCGATATCTGGAGCGGCATGTTTCCGATTATCATGTAGTATTCGATCGCAACTTCGGAAGCGAC